ACTGACTAGATGTATGAAGCGAAAATGGGAATTTTTCCACTACGAAAAAGTAGACAGTACGTTGAACTAATACATTGTTTGCATGGAGAAAACACCACATTAGTTTTCGTGAAACTACTTCTTATACTGAAAATATAATGTGGTAGTGAAGCTTCATACTCGAGATTGACTAGGATATCCTACTTAACGGTGTGGCACTTTATAACTAGTATGCCGTAGTTTACTGCTCGACTTGGACACGAATCTATCCTACAGTATGTGACTAAGTCAGAAATGACCAAAACAGGCGAAAGTCGACTTGTCTGCCATCAAAAATGAGATTTTACGCTAGGACGCTACTGTCAAGAAGCAACAGAATCTTGTATAAGGCGAAAGTGTAGAAAAGCTTCGTCCCTTTGTAGAACAAGTTCAGACATTTTCTAGTATATTTTGTCACAGAACTATCTGTCGATTCCATACTTCGGATAGCTGAAAAAAGCTTTTTCTCAAACCCAGCGAAAACGCGTGTGTTTTGCATCGGAGTGTTCTGAATAAAAGCACAGAACAGAGGAAATATTCTTATTAAATAGAGTATTTAATTCGAGCAAAAAGAATGAAAGTTTCAGCTCTCATAGGTATGGCTGTAGCCGTTCACGTTGGTTTGGCAAAATTTTAAACGGGAACGAAAACAGTTTTGACGTTGACGTTCTGAACTGTCAAGGTGTCGCATTAGTTGGCGTTCTGAACTGTCAACTGCATATCGTCAGGTGACGTTCTGAACTTCAACGGTATCTCGTCAGTTGACGCTCTCAACTGTCGACGTGAAAAACTATGTCGTTAGATATCGTTATAGTGTAGTTCAGTATCAGTATGATGACTTGTAGATCGAAAAGCATTGAGAAAAATCATGCGAAAGAAAATTGAAAAAATGAGGCACAAAACAAGCAGAATAATGTAGAAAATAGGAAAATTTCTCAAAACATTTCGATTCACGAGAGATCTTCATTTACGCCAAAGCTTTACGTGAAAAGTATGAAGGTTTCACTCATTTAAGAACCTTAGACCAGCGGGTTTCAACGTTGACAGTTCAGAACGTCAACTAATGCAGTAGCGTTGACAGTTCACAAGGTCAAATAATACGACACCTTGACAGTTCTGAACGTCAACTGATAAATCACCGTTGACAGTTGAGAAGGAAAACCGCTACGGCTACACCCCTACTCATAGGTCAAGAATGGTACATCTGTGTTCACAAAATCGCACATGCGTCGATTCCTCATCAAATTCTGATCAAGTTTGATCTTAGAAGTATCCTGAAATTCCGTAGATCGGGTAGCAATAAAAACTTTTTTTCTCCATTCGTAAAACAATAGACGTGTTCTAATTAAAAGCATATATTCAACGGTTCTGTTCTAAATAAATACGGTATTTAATAAGAACAGAAATGAAGTGCAGTGTATTATACAGGCAAGAACTCCCTCATTTTAAATGATAAACTGAAAAAGGTTTGTTTTTTTCCGATTCCTGAGACTATCAGCTATAGCATGGTGAAAATGTTTTTGGAAAAAGTTCAAGAATCAGATCAGGATGAAGAAAATAGAGTGGTTGCTTTTAATTAGAACAGAAATACTCGACGAGCATAGTATTTTTTTCATTTTTCAAAGGACTGAAAAGAAAAAAACAAAGACATACAATGTGAATGCAGTCTAACATTGCTTATTTGCTACGACTCTTATACTGTCTTTTCCGAAATAAATCTGTTTAAATAGATTTTTTTCCAAAAATTCGTTTAAATTCATTTTTAAAATAGGGGTATCTAAATACATTTTTTCCGTTTTTCAAATCTATTTCGTAAATTTTGGTTTCTGAAGAAATTTAAATGGATTCACAGTTTGAAATAGAACTACAGATGGTGGACCAAAAACACTATTTGATTCCATTTTGCGTGGAAAATCTAAATTAGTTTTTAAAAAAATCCATTTATATTCATTGCGCTTAACTTTTCGTGTGAAAAATCTATTTAAATTCATTTCTATCTGAATGCATCTGGTTTTAGCTTTTGTAATAGATTAATTTAAATGTCTTTTTCTCTAAATAAAAATAAAATGCATTTAAATAGATTTTCACAAAAACTAAAACCAGCTTTATTGAGATAGAAATGAATTTACATACATTTTTCGCACGAAAAGTTACGCACAGTGAATTTAAATGAATTTTTTAAAAAATAATTTAGGCAGATTTTTCTAAAAGAATTATTAAAAAGTGCATTTGAATAGATCTTTTTTCAAAAAGAATTGATTTAAATTGATTTTTTAAACAGACATTTTTTTTAAAAAGTGCCGCAATGGACCGCGATACTTCGCCTGTCAACGCATATACACACGGTAAATCGATCAAATTTATTGAATGCTGGTAGATCGTGAAGCAGATTGAATATTAGTAGAAAATATGACAGTCTTTGGAGATGTTGTATAGTGTAACACAGCCATGTAACTTGCAAGTTAATTTTTTGTTGCAGTTTCTGTTTTACAAGAACAAATAAGTGAATGAGTGATGTATGGAGTAGTTTCACAATTAGACTTTTAGTTCTACAGTGACAAGCTTTTTTACTACTATCGTTTTCGAAAAGTAGTGCCTTTGGTTATCTTTTGAATAACTCAAAAGGAATAAAAGATAGAGGCTTGCGGTTTTCAGCATTCGCTAGCCAAGGCCAACAGTCAAAATCCATCCAATCTACTTGAGAATGTCAGGAAATGCTCTATTTTATCTGCAGCGTACCTTAAAGCGCAACAAATGTTGAAAAAATCAACAGGAAATACGTTAGTTTCTAGAAGGGTTTCCCAGAAACCTTCGAAACTAAGAGAATATTTTTGATTGATTTTAAGTACAGAATCACAATGAGCGGATAAAATAGAGCAGTTCCTGACATTCTCAAGTAGATTGGATGGATTTTGACTGAGTTATGGATCTTTTAATTTTTGATGAAAATAATCAAAAATGGGTTATTTGACCTAGTATAAGTTTTCACTCGGTTCTTATAATTTGCTTTCAAAAACTAACATTGCTACGAGATTCAGCATAGTCGATAACCTATGTTTTCATTCATTTCTGACAGGCCCAAACCTAACAGCAGAGAAGTGCTAAGGCTTCAGGAAAAACGTCTACAACTTCCGAGTCATGAATTTACAAGATGTCACTTGTTTCCAGTTTTCTAGCGAACACTTTGGACTATATATCTATGAAAAGAAATCTATAGATTACTATGTCAGTTTTCGGAGAACCAAACTGATTTTTCACAGATTTCAGAAATTTGTTTGTGCTGATGAAAACATAGCTGCTGGCCTTGGCTAGCGAATGCTGAAAACCGCAAGCCTCTATCTTTTATTCCTTTTGAGTTATTCAAAAGATAATCAGAGGCACTGCTTTTGAAAACAATAGTAGTAATAGTAATATATGTATTTATTACTATTCATACCACACATTAAGATTAAGTCAAAACTATTATTTGCCATTTGAATCGAACGAACTTTTGTTTAAAATAAATTAATTGATGTTCTATATAAACTAGTCAAAATTTAATAGAATCAGTCGCTTATGACATTCGAAATGAGTTAATAATACATTAAGGATATAATTTGTAGTTTTCATTTATTAAATTTCTAGTTTAAACAATAAAAAAAGTTATGTCTGGAATTAATGAAGTTACATGGCAAATTAACACTCTTAAAGATACGCTGAAAGATGAATGTGATGAACTAAGAGAAGATGCTGAACGTCATACAAATGATGCTGATGCAGCAGAAAGATTACTTGATTCTAAGATGAATAATATTCAACGAACATTTAATACTGAATTTGAAGGACTTAGACAAAATATCAAGAGACGTAAACCAAATCCATCAGAGGCAAACTATGAACAAAAAGAAAGAACTTATGTTGAATTTATTAATCAAGTAACTTCACTCAATGGTCCGTTGGAACTATTAGGAAATTGGTTTAAATCTCTTTTTAATAAATTAAAAGAAATTATTGCTACTATTGTCGAATGGATCGCTCAAGCAGTACAATATGTTGCAACAAAAATACGTAATATTTTTCAAGCTATTGTATCATTTTTCAGTTAATAATAACTTATAAAACTATATTAAATATTGTTGTTTGTTTTATTTATATAATTTAGATGATAAATATATTTGATAATTAAAAAAGCTTGAATTATTCATTTTAAATTTGTTTCTTTTTCTCTTCATAAACTATCGTGTAAATAATTTTATTATTTCAAATATATATTTTAGACTCATTCTAACTAATCGTATTTACTAAACGAGGGTGTTATTTAACAATGGCCTACAACAACAGTAACGCATATCCTGTAAGTACAAAACAAATATCAATTTCTTGAATATATTTTACAAATACTAATTAGAAGATTGGTCTTATGAGATAAATGAAGATAAAATCTAATTTTTTATTTTTGATATTTTAGAGTTCTCGTAGTTCTTATTCTAATATAAGAACGGGTGGTAGTCAATCGAATGGTGATTCAATGTCATTATCAAATAATCGAAGTGTAAGTGAGACTCATTATTTTATTTATATTTGTTAATTTTTACTTTCTTCAGTCTTCTTCTCTTCATTACAATCCATCCATCGACAAAGAGATCTGATTCGAATTCTTGTTGAGAGTTTGAATTGATTAATTCTCTTTTTGTCATTCTAATGTGTATAAATATAATACTATACGCAGGTATTTATACACATAAGAAGTATAGAATCAGTCAATATCCATCCTTGTATTAACATTGAGGATCGACGAGAGCTGTAAAGGAATCATTAAAACCTCTTTTAGATATTTTTGCAAATAGGTATGCGTCAATTTGAAATTATTGAAGCTTTTCGAAGATTTGAGATAAAAATTGAAATTGAATTTGATCAAATATTTACTTAAAATTCCTTTGATACAGTATCATACAACTCACAAACTGTGTCTTTTAAAGTAAAAAGAATTTTTTCTTCGTTTAACCCTTTCCAGCCTGATGTTGCCATTTGGCAACACTTTTTGCTGTGTTTTCGAAACACCCGGCTAGAAAGGGTTAATATATCACTCTAATGACGATCTTATACAGAATATTATATAAAGATGACGAATCTAACGGAATACTTTGATGCACTCAGTTTGATTGAGGATATTGAATTTATATTATTAACAATATATAGGTGAAGTTTGTGAGTGCTATGAATGTAAGAAATTAGTTTTAAGTAAATATTTAAGCCAATTAAAGAACAAATTCAATCAGCAGCTTTCATATTTCAACTTTGAAATCAATGAAGAACTGAAAATCGAAAGTATTTTGATTATTTAGTCAAAAATAGAAGAAGAATGTACTCTTAAGATGTTTCTTGATTTATTTGTATGTAAAATGTATGACATACATAAAAACTATGATTGAATTGTTTTAGTCTACTAGAACATTAGTTCAAGATACTATAAAGAGAAAATGTAATACATTACTATTAAAATTACATTTAAAAGATGATAAAAAAAGGCATGAAGAAAAAATTAGAAATATGTCTGACAAAGAAAGAGATCAATTTATTGGTGAATTATTAAATGAACTTAAAACAGATTTATTTACAATTTTGGATAATATTCGACAACGATTGAAAAGTCAACGTCCAACAGATTTAAATGATCCAGACTATGAAGCAAAAATTAAATTATATTGTGACTTACTTAAAATAGCATCATCTCTACTTGAAGAAGCAAATAAATCAGTTAAAGAAATATTTGATGAATTTCATCTATTTCTAGATGAATTATGGTATGTTTGACGAAAATAAAAACAGATTTTTTTGTTCTTCTAGAATAAAACATTAAAAATAATCCCGTGCCCGTCCGTGTCTTTTTCGAGCTTGCCCGTACCCGTCCTTGCCCGCGGCCACAAGAATTCTCGTATCCGTGCAGATCTCTAAAGGGGAGTCGCCTATAGAAGAATTTTCGTATAGAAACCCCAATGTAGATGAGACAAAGTCCATGAGGAGTCAGGTCCTGGAAGGAGTCGACTAGTACAGATGAAATTTGTGCAAGAAAAATTTTTGTTGTATGGATGCAAAGAAGATAAAGTTCTTTCACTCTTACGAAGGCCTTTCGTATAGGAACAAGAGTATCCAAAAGAGGAGTGAAGATAATACCAAGAGTACATGAAAAAAACTCCTAGGAGAAAATAAAACTCTCGAAAAGAGTTTTCTTGTAAGATCGAGATGCATTGAAAAGTTACTTGATATTTATGAAATAGTTAGAGGAGAAGAAAACCAAGTCTTTTTGTTGAAATGTTGTTTTGCTGTCATGCATGAGTCTGAAAGATATCGATATGTCATAGGCTAAAACTCCTAATAGAGCAAAATGGACGAAATTGAAGAATTTTATTCGAAAATAAAAGAATTGAGATCGACTGCAAAATCATGAATTTCTCAAGAATCGAGTATCGATCTCGAATGCAATTTAGTGGAATCCGAACTGAGATATTTTTATGCACATTACTACGTACTATGAACTTCAAGCCTTTTGGAGAAATGTAAGATTTTTTTTGTATAACCTATGTAATGAAAGTTTTTGCTTATAGGAATGCAATATATCACCAAAAAAATACTGATGAAATAATGGAACAATTTAACCAAAGACTTGATCATCATATGCAAACAAAATGGGAAAGTATTTTTAAGACCATTGATGAGATAATACAAGAAGTGGAAAAAGGTATGAAACAAGAACAACCACAACATATGAGACATTAAAAGAGATCATACGATAAACATTGAGTGTTGACGTAAAAACGATAGATTGCTTTTTAATTTTATGCTTCTATTTTTATGTAATTCAGAAAAAGTATATGAATAAAAATCTAAGTAACTAAACAATAATGTGAATCTTATTCTGAATCTGGCTATGACATAAGTTATCAATTCAAGTGATCGCCTTTTAAAAGATTAGTTTTCAAATCTTTTCAAATTCCAAACACAGTTTTTGATAGAGTTTTTAGATCAGACCACGCTCAAAAAGTTTCGATGTAAAATGACAGAGTTACAGGCGAAACACTGAAGATCACACTTTTTTCCGGTTTTTCGGAAGAGTTCACTTTGAAATGCAAAATGCGTATGTCACTTTCAGTTTTCGTCCAAACTCGTTCAAAACTTTTTCATAACCTCAGTTTTCTCATCGATTCAGAATATGTGATAAAAATTACAGGTCAGATTTTGCCATGTTTTGAGCTTTCTTGCTGCTGCCATGCACTCTTTTACGAGGGGGAGACCCGCCCTACAACATGCCTTCAAATTTTGTGACTTTGTAGGGAGCATCCCCAAGGGTCTGAGGTTATTGATGAAACATAATATATTCAAAATGATAGAAAACTACGACTCTTTCCATACCTGACTGTGTTGATCCTGCGCGTGGTTGATTACTTCTCTTGAGTCTTCAACAGTGTATGTTTCTCCAGTATGGAAATATAGTTTTTTCAACGACCAATCAATTTTGCCATGCTTCACTCCTACCTGTACCAAGAACGTGCCATCGGCTGCATAAATATTTTAATACATTGGAGCTATTTGCGACTTATCCTATATTCGCAGTTGTAAAGTTCCGAGAGATTCGGATGGTTTTTCGAAAACGTTTAAGTCTTTTTCTAGCGTGAAAGAAATCGTTTTCGATTTCACAGCTTTTGGAGCTAAAAGGTTGAAACAAAAGTTAAGACGGCGTAAGGATGGAGTGAGTGCGAGGTAACATTTAAGATACCAAAATTAAAGCAACTTTGTGAAGAATATATCTGCTGTTCCCACGGACTTCTCGTCCTGTTCTCTCTCTTCTTTGGCGATTTCTCTCATTGTGCGTATCTGTTATTATTTTTCATTAGTTATCTATCTCTCTCTTTTACATAGTTCATGACTTCTACTCTTACTCCACAGATTTTTCTAGCTTACATTGTACATTTTCCTGAACTCTGTATGAACTTTTTCTCCCTTTCGATACGGTTCACTGCTTCTATTTATTTTCCACATCTGTACAGTTACATTTATAGTCAGTTTGTATTAGAAATAAATTCAGGAACGGTCAATTTCCGTTACATTTGGCAATCTCGCCTCGACGAACCTTTGTGAATCCCAGGTCGTACATTAAGTCACTTTCAGAAAACGTTGGCATCTAGATTAGTATGTATCCTGGTCAAAAATATGATAGTCCTAAAATGTTTCAGCACTACAACAAGGTCTTAATTTGCTCCCACATTGACAAGGAACCAATGCTGGCAACAATTGTGTGGGTATACGACGACGGTAAAAGATATGACGTTATCACTGATGAGCTTGAAGATGGTAAATGATACACTATTTCCAATAATTATTTGAAACCATTTGGTGAAGTTGTTACAGATATTGATGGTGAAATACATTATCTTCCTGCGATAGCAGATTCACCAACCGACCGTCCAATTCGGTTTCATTGTCAGTATGAAGAATACGTTGAATGGTATTATCAGTCAAAATTGCTGAGTGTTTCTCACGCGAGAAAGGATGGTTTTTCCACTTTTCACAGTCGGAATTCGTCTGGTCACAAGGTGGCGAACCATGGTGCGAACACGAAATTAAAGTTCAGCGACTCGTACGAGAAATAAGCGAAAAACTGTTTTAGGTGGAAAATATTGCTTTTTAAGTACCCCCGCTACAATATGTCTTCAAATTTTGTGAGTTTGTAGGGAGCACTCCCAAGGGAATGGGGTTAAAATATCTCGCGGGTTGGAAAAACCTCAGTGGAGTTATTGCACTTAGAAAATTCACAAAAGTCCATTTTTCAGCGTTTTTGGCCACAGAGCAAAAAGTAATTCTTACCAAGTCCCTTTTAACTTAAAGTTTATATTATGCAGCTTGGCATCGTTCATTTTCGATGAAACTTTCAGTGTACAAGTGTCTAACCACAAGGTATATACCCACCAAATTTCAGGACATTCAGACACTGTGGTGAAGAAATACACAAAACTTACTCAGATTGCGATTTTCCGTGACGGCTGTGTTTTACACGACGGAAGATCATCGTGAATTTTCTAATTAAAATTTGTTTTTCTCTTAAAGATCGAAAGCAGTTGGCAAGACTCTTTTCGTTGGAGCTGAGAATATGAAGATCCTTGTCAACATGTTTCTCACTGTCGCGAAGATCTGAGATCAGGCCTTTGTGATTTTGATATATATCTGTCACCCGATGAAAGAATTGCTCAATTTGGCTGACTATATTCAATTCATCAACATGCTGTGGGGCCAAACCGTAGTCGAGACCGTTGGCTAGGCACCGTGTTTCTTCCGGAGTCAAGATGCGACTAGAAAGATTCGTAACCACTTCATGTTTTGTGTGGTATTGGTTGGTGTTTTACGAACGCTTTTTCCAGTTGAAGCTACCAGCTTTTTGTCTAACGTGATTTTCTTCTTCATTAGTTCGCTGTGGGTTATTGTCGACGTGGTGATATTCGTGGCTCGATTAAAAATCAGTCCTGGCACCGACTGTTTGAAAAGACTGTAACTATAGTTAAATTGTTTGTTTGCACGATACAAATCTTTGTAAGATGCACCTAGGGCAGACTTGCAGCGGAATTAATTGTCGACGTTTCATATATCATTCGATAGGGAATTTCGCCGTGATCACGAATATCACTTCCTAGGCTCTCAGAACCTTTTCCTCGCTGAGATATTTGCAAAATACTGAGAGTATCTAAAAAAACCCAAATCGCAAGGTTTTGGTAAAATGGTCGTAGTTTTTTTTGTGCTTTGGTTTTATTGCTTGACTCACAGCTTTTTGGATTCAGCAAAAACTGAGTCTAGACAACTAGCTTTCAATGCGCAAGGCTATAAACTAGAGTTTTAGAGGTGTCAGAAACCGGATCGACTCAAAAGCGTCAGGTAAAACTTGCAAGCCTAACACAGGTTTTTGTGAAGGTGCTAGAGCCAATATTTTTACGTGGCTAGATCCGCCAGATGCTGAGCTTCAAAACAAGAAAGAGCTTTTTTTAAATTTTGTGTTCTGGCTGAGAAAAACCGCATTTACCGAGCACCATACGAAAACGGCAAGTCCTTTTTAGGTCTTTCTGCGAGTTTTGATCGAAATGCTACCTTATTTTTGCCAAATAGGCTAAAAACCATGGTGGATCCGACAGACACACTCTCGGGATCCGTAGAGGATTTCTGTATATTCGCTGTGAGCACGGTTAGCGAAAACTAGCGAAAAGTTTCCTACAGTGAGTTATAGGTGCCCCCAAAACCCTTAGTTTTCCAACTAAAATCTGTTTTTCCCAGCTCAGAAAATCTTTTATTTAAAACTAATGTGATATCTGTAATCGGCATCAAAAACTGCATCGAATGATGTATAATTTGAAACATTTAGGTATTTGAATATTCGTTTTAGCAGTAGGATGAAAGTCTATAAACACATGTTTTATAGATTCTCGAACATGTTCTTTCCAATTGCGAGATTTTCGACATCCAAAAATATTTTTTATGGGTTTTCTAGAGATCCGGTCTTTCGAAAATCCAGAAACAGTTTTTTGGATTTCGAAATCTCACAATTGGAAAGAGCATATTTGAAAACCTATAGAAAAACGTGTTTACAGAGTTTCGTACCGCTTCTACAACATATGTCCACGAGCCTAGTCAAAATTGCCCACTGTGCCACACCATTTCTACCTATATTACTTCTTTTATGTGACTGGGAGTGCGCTGACGAGGAAACCTCCCCAAGTGTATCAGTGCTTTTACCTAGAAACATAGACGATTATATGTAATTTTTATGCTGATCACGAACATGATACCCATTCGCGCTATATTGACTTTTGAATTGATCGCTGGAAAACCGATCTCTGTAGACTCACCTTGAAATCCAAGATGAAGAGATTTTGATTTGTTGATTTTGTGGAGCATGCCGAGGTACCTGTATGAAACCAATGCGAGACCTAAAGATTGCGTTTTCGCTGAGTTAAAGTATTTTTATTCCAACATGGTGTATAAAGTTAAGGCTTTAAAGTAAGTTGAGATGTAAGACTTCTTTAACTCTGCGAAAACTCAATCTTTAGATCTCGCATTGGTTTCATACAGGTAACTCGACATGCTCCATCAAATCAATAAATCAAAATCTCTTCATCTTGGATTTAAAGGTGGGTCTTCGGCGATCGGTTCTCCAGAGATCTACTCCAAAAGTCAATATGGGCAGGAATGGGTATCATGCTCATGATCAGCATAAAAAATGATATATAATCATGTATGTTTCCAGGAAAAAGCGCTGATACACTTGTGGAGGTTCCTTCGTGAGTTTTTAAATTCATCAGGGATATTTGGTAGAAGAGTTAAGTAGGAATGTGCAGTTATCTTAGACATGAATAATAGTACTATCCTTACAATATAAGTGAAAAAATGATAATATATGCGACTGCCACCAAAATAAATAATTAGCTGTTTACGCCTGATATCTTTTATCCAATACTATTGTCGTTTCCACCAACGTAAGTTTTCCGGATATGTTAATCTCAAGAAGACCGAAAGAGAAACAGTTTAGAAAACCCTGATTCACAATAAATCACAAAGTATCGTACTTTGGCTGATCAATTTCATCTTTTGGTATTAAATATTTCTAAAAGGATGGAATTGGAACAAGAAGTGAACAACTAGCTAAAATAAACAACTAAATAAAGGAGGAGATACGAAATGTAATGGATATTGCAATAAATTAAACGAACGAATATGTCTCCCACGATAGCTATATAAAAATCACCATGTCCATAAGTATTCACATGACTAAACCAAGCACGATCTAAAAATTTCTGCACAGTTTTCGTTGCCATAAATGCTTGGTTGTGATTTTCTTCGGCTAATGCAATTAGACTGTAACCAAAGTATAGTTTTGATTTTGTGGTTAATATTTGTAAAGCCAGTCCTTCATCTTCATTGAAACACATATCAATTATTCGAGCTGCGTGTTGTTCAAATTCTCTAGAAGAAAATGTTTAGTGGAATACAGGTTTGCACAAAAATGATTGACTTGTTAAAAACATTAGAAAACGGTTATACGAGTGTGGAAACACTGTTACTAGTTCAACCAGATACGCAAGCACATAGGCTATGTACTTTTTGTCACGACGATGAAAACCTAATTTTCTCGTTGTTCAAACTCTTTGATTGCTTCAGATTCATGTGTTAACTTAGCAGCTTTTCGGTATATTTCACTAGCCATAAGTGGTGCTGTAACAGTATTCTGGGATTCTTTTTTTCTGGAAGCAGGATAACAATATACAAGCTCCACTCTCTCTCTTTATTCAGCACGGTTACCGAAGTTTCAGAATATAAAAATATTGCCATTTCGTAACGATTTGAAAACACAGATCAGAAAATAAGTTTTGAACGAATTCTTTCTCTTGCATCGATCTTCCAACGTTAAGTTTTTTCTATTCAGAATACAAAAAGTCTTTCTGACATCTACATATTTAGAAAAACAACGCTTACTTGCTCAATATCGACTAAATGCGCGCCCATTTTACTCAAATACGATGTGTGATATCGATATTCTGGATCGTCATATCGACTATTTCGATAAATATCGAAGGGTAACGCATCACGAATTTTCTATGGAAAAAAGAAAACCTGATTACACATGCCACTCGCCTACATTTAATATTTTCGCGAATCAATTCCCGAATGGCGACTATGAATAACCAAGCTTCGCAGAGAAAACGATCTAAGAGCGCAAAGCCTTTTTTGGCTTGTTAGTTCGTCGGGTTAACAGCAGGTGAAATCAAGAGCTTTGATGCAAAGCAGTACGGCTAAAGCTGAGAGTCTTCTTACTACAAATAATCTCGATTTATATTCATAAATTCTCTCAGTCGATCGAATGATGCACCATAGACAATTAACAATTCACTGAATTGTATAGAATCAAAACGCACTGCATGCGCCAATGCTTGATCTAATTCATCCTCCTGTTTTGAACAGAATAGATTATATTCTTTTTACTATGTTCCTCTACTTTTTGAATCAAAGCTTACCGTCCAATGTGCGAGCTCTTTATCATTTAACATATCTTAAACGGAATTAAATTTGTTGCAGGTCATTTTCAATCTATATTCCTCAATACAAACGTCTCTAGAGTTTCCATTTAACAGCTGGAAATATCTATATGCTTTAAGATCTAACGCTATAGATCGTGAACATAGAGAAATTAGACGGAATCACAAATCACGATCCATGGCTCTCCTATTCTCTAAGATAGCTGCAACTTACCGCTGAGTAGTGCTTTAAGTATTGCATCATTTAATTTGTATCCATACGTTTGATTACGAAATTTAAATATTGTGATGAGAAAGAAACCATTCATTGATGTGATCATCTCAGCAAATTCGTGTCGGTTCTTTTCCTTTTCAAAAAAATTTTTTAGTTCTTCATCAACTTTATGAAGTTCATCCTCTTTATAAATATATTCTTAGGCTACACGGCGAAAACACAAGTTTAAAGTGGCGTCCTCAGCGAATATCCCAGTAACCACTGTCTATCAGAGAAATTTGACTTTCACAGATAAGAACTTTCAGGTTTGCTCCTTGAATTTAACAAGCTCATTTAATAAATTTGTGGCGCAGCTATTAATGTTGAAGTGCATGGATGCACTCAAACGTTACACTACTGACCAGTCAACCATCTTGATTGGCCTTTTCCAAAGACAGTTAAATTGAGATTTTAATAAGAGAAATGTTGCTCTTTAAAAACGATATGAAACCATTAAAATGAAACTGAAATCAATAACAAGAGAGGATTATCAAAGCTACAAGATATCAAAGAATGAAGTAATTTTGGTCAGACGAAAGCATCTATACATTTCTATCCATGAACGCTATAATCGCCGCAAAATTTCTATATTCTGTGGGCAACGTTCGTTCTATTTTTCATTTTTTTCCAGTAAAGATTATTCTGTTTTCTCACGTGAGAGCGAACTGATGCTTTTTAGTGTCTGTTCGCTTGATCGCTGCAGATAAAGATATAGTAGTAACAGTGCCGGATCTAGCACTACGGCGGTCCGGCGACCGCCTCCCCCTCGCAAATGGAATTCTGATGCAAGTACACTACCAGGCTTCCTTAGAAAAAATATTCATACTACCTCGGACGACTTCGTTTAGAAATCGTCCACCCCGTCAGTAGAATCCTGGATCTGCCACTGAGTACTCTCTAAAAAATAAAGGTATTATAAAATACGAAAAATGGTATAACCATTTGAAACATATCATAACTGTTTAAACGTTTTTTACTTTTATCAGAAAAACCCTTTGGCATTTTTAGAATATG